TGTGTTTTATTTACCAGTGATTTTGTTTATTTAACAAAAAAATAATAATGCGTACAATATGCATTGAATTGGACGAATAGCCTTTGTTAGCGAGTAATTGTGTAGGATAGAACTATTTTCCTGCTCATCTGAACACGCAAATGTTGCAAGACAGAACTAATCAATCACAGAGAGCGTTCACTCACTGCTGACGGTGCATTCAAACAGGGCTGATTTTCTCAAAAGTATCATAAGAAAGCATTAAAGCTTTTGGGAACGGCAGCCCTGAACAATGCTTATCAGAGGACAGAAGGACAGAGTTATTTCACAATAAACAAACTGAAATTGTAGCCTACATAGTTTGTGCAATTACAGTTATTTAAATTGAATGTTGAAAGATAATATTGATCATGTTCTATTCTGTAGTGTTAATAGAATAAAAAGGTTGCATTTTATGCATGCAACAGCCTGTCACTGGCAGTCCCTTATGAAAATGAATTGTTAGTTTTTAGTTTTACTAAAGTGACCATAGTTCAGCTGTAGTATTTATAGATTTGAATCATGTGTAAACAAAAAACTTATTTGAACCATGTATAATAAAATATAACCTAATAAGTTACAATTAAGGCGTATTGAATGTTAAAAATGCGTTTTAAACAAAGTTGTGTAAAGTGATTATCATTACCCATTTTACTCTTAGTAATTTAATAATTTAATACATTTCATAATTTAAAAGTTAAGTTCAGAAGTATCGAATTGGTATCGACGATACTGCCTTGAAAAATATCGGTATCGTATCAAAAACAAAATAAGTGGTAATTGGAAATTCCATCCCTAGCTCTCGCACAAATCCGGACGCGCACGCTCAGATACACGCTACTCTTGCCCAGAGAGTGTGCACACACTTAAAACGTGTCTCTCCTCTCACTCAAACTGTCCTGTGCACTCGCAAATCTCTCTGTGCTCATGCGCTAGATATTAATTCTTTTCGCACCTGAATTAAACGTGCATACCTCAACTGAATTTAAAATCATTGCAATACATTCTCAGTTGGTATGATGGCAATAGTAACAATTCCTATCAAATCAAATCAAATGCAAAAATAGATGTAAATGATGCAAGATATAACACAATAAATGTTCTGATAGAAGCACTGTTTGGAAATGTATTGGGAGTTTTTTTTTTTTTTTAATCCAGTGTTTGTTTTCAGGTCTGATTTTAGGTCGATATATATATATATTTTTTCATGAAAACCCACTTTATATTAGCTACACATTCAATGGCACTCTCAAACAGTGAATATACAGTTATATGACAGTTACATGTAATTACATTGTCTGCAAATGCATTAAACCCATAGAATATAATGTAGTAATGTTATGACAAATATGGGAAATTCATTATAGTGTTATATTTGGTATCCACATCTTAAGTATAGGGAATAGTGCATCTGACCCTTATCTAAATATGACCTTAATCAGAAGATTATTCTTTATCTAATAATTATTTATTTATTTATTTATTTCAATCCAAGTGCACAGTAGGTTATATGACCACATGAACTTTAAGAATCATATAGGCCTACTTTTTTGTTTGTGTTTAGATAAATCGCTCAGAGGGGTTTGACCAAACTGTTAAACTAGGTTATTTACAAATAATCCAAGCACCCGATTCATTTCTAAAATTTGATTATTATGATTTAGTAGTATTAAATTATAAAGAAATTACAAGATCCATCTTTGAAATCTGATTGGTTGATAATGTTTAATTCAGGTGCGAAAAGAATTCATATCTAACGCATGAGCACAGAGAGATTTGCGAGTGCACAGGACAGTTTGAGTGAGATAAGAGACACTTTTTAAGTGTGTGCACACTCTCTGGGCGAGAGCAGTGTGTATCTGAGCGTGCGCGTCCGGTTTTGTGCGAGAGCGAAGGAAATCCACGTACGAGCAGGGAGATTCGCACTCGCACATTATATTAATGTGCTTTCGCTATACAATAATGTGCTCTCGACATTTGACATTAAAATAACGCCATAATCTTACTCTATTAAAAAAAACCTGAGCATGTGATTATCAGCAGTTTGATGATGCTGCATTTCCTTTCATGCCCTGAATTGTTTTTCAGTAAGGTTTGTAGAATAGAGGTTATCAACATTTTGACTCAAAAGTCCTCAAATTCATTTTGTGATTCCCGACTTCTCAGGAGCCATATGTTCTTTAATAAAAAAAAATGTAAAAAAAGTTTTTGAGGGAGATCTTAATTGTATGTTGTTTTAGCATGAATCAAATGAGAATGTTATCATATATGAATAATAATAATATTTTAAATAATTTTTTGTTTGCACTAGTTTGCTAGTGAACCAAGGTTTTAAAATAAATGCTTTTTGTAATTAAAGGTGCTTGCTAAATTTGCCCTTAATTCTTGTTATATAATCTAAATTGATGATAAGATTAAAAAAATTTAAAAATGGACTGCACAACTTTTCAAATCTAGAAAGATTTTCTGTTATCATCATACAATGCATGATTTTCTAAGAAATCTGTCAACTCGAATCTGCAGACTGGCTCACATTTTCAGCAACGAGCTTCAGCTTGTCCAGACTGTAAATCTGGGCCAAAGTCGTGTAGTGTATTCCAGCTATTAGCAACCCTTGCCCTGGCAATAACCTAGAATATATATATATATATTTTTTCATGAAAACCCACTTTATATTAGCTACACATTCAATGGCACTCTCAAACAGTGAATATACAGTTATATGACAGTTACATGTAATTACATTGTCTGCAAATGCATTAAACCCATAGAATATAATGTAGTAATGTTATGACAAATATGGGAAATTCATTATAGTGTTATATTTGGTATCCACATCTTAAGTATAGGGAATAGTGCATCTGACCCTTATCTAAATATGACCTTAATCAGAAGATTATTCTTTATCTAATAATTATTTATTTATTTATTTATTTCAATCCAAGTGCACAGTAGGTTATATGACCACATGAACTTTAAGAATCATATAGGCCTACTTTTTTGTTTGTGTTTAGATAAATCGCTCAGAGGGGTTTGACCAAACTGTTAAACTAGGTTATTTACAAATAATCCAAGCACCCGATTCATTTCTAAAATTTGATTATTATGATTTAGTAGTATTAAATTATAAAGAAATTACAAGATCCATCTTTGAAATCTGATTGGTTGATAATGTTTAATTCAGGTGCGAAAAGAATTCATATCTAACGCATGAGCACAGAGAGATTTGCGAGTGCACAGGACAGTTTGAGTGAGATAAGAGACACTTTTTAAGTGTGTGCACACTCTCTGGGCGAGAGCAGTGTGTATCTGAGCGTGCGCGTCCGGTTTTGTGCGAGAGCGAAGGAAATCCACGTACGAGCAGGGAGATTCGCACTCGCACATTATATTAATGTGCTTTCGCTATACAATAATGTGCTCTCGACATTTGACATTAAAATAACGCCATAATCTTACTCTATTAAAAAAAACCTGAGCATGTGATTATCAGCAGTTTGATGATGCTGCATTTCCTTTCATGCCCTGAATTGTTTTTCAGTAAGGTTTGTAGAATAGAGGTTATCAACATTTTGACTCAAAAGTCCTCAAATTAATTTTGTGATTCCCGACTTCTCAGGAGCCATATGTTCTTTAATAAAAAAAAATGTAAAAAAAGTTTTTGAGGGAGATCTTAATTGTATGTTGTTTTAGCATGAATCAAATGAGAATGTTATCATATATGAATAATAATAATATTTTAAATAATTTTTTGTTTGCACTAGTTTGCTAGTGAACCAAGGTTTTAAAATAAATGCTTTTTGTAATTAAAGGTGCTTGCTAAATTTGCCCTTAATTCTTGTTATATAATCTAAATTGATGATAAGATTAGTCATAAAATTAGATTAAATGTAAAAAAAAATTTAAAAATGGACTGCACAACTTTTCAAATCTAGAAAGATTTTCTGTTATCATCATACACTGCATGATTTTCTAAGAAATCTGTCAACTCGAATCTGCAGACTGGCTCACATTTTCAGCAACGAGCTTCAGCTTGTCCAGACTGTAAATCTGGGCCAAAGTCATGTAGTGTATTCCAGCTATTAGCAACCCTTGCCCTGGCAATAACCTAGAATGTTTTGCATGAGCAAGCATCACTCAAATTGACTTCAGAAAACAAAATGCAAAAATATAGGCTAGTAAAAATGTAGTTGATATAAAAAAAGTGCATTGCAAAAATAATGTGCTGCTTGAGTAAACAAAGGACATCCCCAATATATTCCATTAAACAAAAGATATTCCAGAGGTAGCTAACTATTCCTTATCTTTGTATGTTAAAAAAACTGAAAGAAAAAGACAAATGTGAACTACCAAATCCATATTTTTAATGTGATTGATTAAAATAGGACATGCTTCTCAAACAGCTTGTTAGTACCGGACGAACATTCAGAAGATCATTTCCTTTTTTAGGTGTAGATTATGGTTAGGAATAACTTTCAGACTGTGATTTTTGATAGGAACGTTGTTCCAGAACTAACAAGGGATGTTGATTTAGTATCATATCCTAGTTCTTGGCACCATGTTGTGTGTGTGTGTGTTTATGAGACCAAAAGAAGTCTCCCATGTACAGCCTGACCTACATTTGCTGCAGATGGAGAAAAATCTAGATCATTCATGACACTTCTGGTTCAGTGGAAGAGCTTGTGGATGTAGATCTGGATTAAACATGCAGGACTCCTGAAAGTAACTCCCCGTTTATCTAAAATCAGAGTGCTTCCCATCCAGAATAGCAGCTTGTACACCAATAAGTATAATAGTCTTAAACAATATGTTACTCCAGATTACAGTTAAAGAAAACATGCGATACTGTTCAATAACAAAAGTTTTTGATTGGAAGAACCAGCGTTCAGTGGCCTCATTGTATTCTTAATTGTTCACGGTTAATTTACTGCTACACTAAAAACAATGAAGTCTAAATGACTCCCTTTCTCTCTCTCTCTTTGCAGTCTGTGTTGTTGCTAGGTGCAGTAGCATTGGTGTGCTTGGCACTCGACCTCCTCTTCCTCCTCTTCTATTCCTTTTGGCTGTGCTGCCGTCGCAGGAAGAACCACGACTCGCCCAACGCAGACTGCTGCTGCACCGCTTGGTGCGTGATCATCGCCACGCTTGTGTGCAGGTCCGTGGTTTGCACTCTTACACAGTTAAACATGAAACACTCATAGCTGCCTCCACGCACACATCATGTGGCAATACGCATCATAAGTTCCAGTTAATTGGGAGTCACGATTGGACTTCCACACAAATAAATCTGTCAATGAAATCCATCCAGTTGGGAACATTTTGGCTGTGCTCCTAAACTTCGAGAACTCCCTTGTTGTCCACTGCCAACATTGGCAGAAAACTGAAATGGAAGCTTGTTGTTGAGTAATTGTATAGTAATAGTTCACCCAAAAATGAAAATTTGCTGAAAATTCACTCACGCCGTCCAGATGTAGATTTATTGCAGGGTTTATTTCATCATCGGAACAGATTTGGTGAAATCTAGCATTACATCACATGCTCACCAATGGGTACTTTGTAGTGAATGGGTGCCGTCAGAGAGTCCAAACAGCTGATAAAAACATCAGTTTTTGAGTGAACAAATGCAAGAGACTTAAAGGAATAGTTCACTACAAAATTAAAATGTTGTTATCATTTACTCACCCTCGTGTTGTTCCAAACCTGGAACAAGAGTTTATTTCTCATGTTGAACATAAAAGAAGATATTTTGAAGAATGCTGGTAATCAAACAGTTGATGGTCTCCTTTGATTTCCATAGTATTTTTTTCCCTAGAAGTCAAAGGGGACCAACAACAAATATCTTCTTTTGTGTGCAACATAAGAAAGAAACTTATACCCTTAAGTTGTTCCAAACCTGTGACATTCTTTCTTCTGTGGAACATAAAAGAAGATATTTTTAAGAATGTTAGTAACTAAACAACGTTCTGACATCTATTATATGTTTAAAAAGGCATTGTTCGCAATATCTTTTATGTTCCACAGAAGTAAGAAAATCATACAGGTTTGGAATGACATGAGGGTGAGTAAATGATGATGGAATGATGGAATATAAATTTTTTTTTAGTTGGTCCGTCCCATTAAATATCTGCCAAGAGAGTAGTAAATTCCTAGAGAATAGTAAATTCAAACAGGAACCTTCAATCCAAAAAGATATGTATTTGTTACAAAAAGCCCCCCCCCCCAAAAAAAAGAACTAAAGAGCTCTTAAGTAATTGCTGTATGACACATAAATCATGTAACACATATGGCAGCTTATTAAACGCCTAACCCACGCTGATGAGTGCCGCTGGCCGGGATTCATTTGAAATAGTAGGTGTGTGTTTCTCCTTGCGCAGTGTGAAACGGATGGTATTTTTAGTAATAATCCCTGTCTGGTTCTCGGGTGCACAGGCTTTGCTTTGTTAACCCTTTCATTGTTCAGGATATGTCCTGTTAGAAAACTTTTCACAATCCACATGCTGTTACATTTGATTGTTGGGTTAACAAGCTTCCATCTGCTTTCTTGTCACTTTTGCTAAATCAGTTACATTACCTTAGTTGACCTTGACATTTCAATATTTTAAACAGTTTTTATAGACTGACATGGTACTATATATATCATCTTTCTGTTCTATTTGTCTAAGCTAGCTGCAGTGTGTCTTGTATACATTTGGTCTCTTGTGAAAACATCTCTACTCATTCCTGTCAGATCTCTTTAAATATAGAGAGAGGTGAGAGGTCAGTTCAGGCTGGCAGCCAGTCCACGCTGAAGCCAGGACACAGAGGTTAAATAGTTTAATCAAGTGCCTGCATTAGTTAGGGGTTAGAATAATGCCGGCTGAATGAGGGTCATGTGTAACAAACTTCCGTATTCTTTAAAAGAGGTCGCATTGCTTCCGTTTCAGCTCTTTTGTATGTGCTTTGTTAAATATGGAGCTATTTTTCTCAAGGATGAGCCAAACTGATGTCCATCGCATATGCAGATTGATATCGAAAAGTTTTTTTATTTTATTTTTTATTTTAAATAAAACACCAGTAATAAAATTTTCGAAAATTCGGAAGCATTCCAGAAATTTTGCAAACTTTCCAGGATTTTTTTGTAACAAACTTCCGTATTCTTTAAAAGAGGTCGCATTGCTTCCGTTTCAGCTCTTTTGTATGTGCTTTGTTAAATATGGAGCTATTTTTCTCAAGGATGAGCCAAACTGATGTCCATCGCATATGCAGATTGATATCGAAAAGTTTTTTTATTTTATTTTTTATTTTAAATAAAACACCAGTAATACAATTTTCGAAAATTCGGAAGCATTCCAGAAATTTTGCAAACTTTCCAGGATTTTTGTTTTGAATATTTCAGGGATTTTTGGAAAGTTTCCGGAAATTTACCAGAAATTTTCCACCCCTTTGCAACCCTAGTTAGGTTAACTGATTACCTCAAAAGTGCATAGATATCGCCATCAGTTCATAATGCTGTTAACACTTTCTCAGACAAATGAATGCGATGAGACATGTTCTCCGGTTTTGCCAGGTGACGTTCGAAGTATACCCCATTGTCCTGCAATGACCCTGTTTAATAATACCAGCTGCTCTTTTCAGTGGTCGTGATGCAGAAATAAAGTGATTTAGTCTTGAAATAGAAGCTGCACAGAACTACTTTAGATTATCTAAAGAGAACTGCTTGTTGTGACCTGAGATTTTGGGCTCGTATAAAAGTAAATAAAAAGCTGTGATTGTAGCAAAAGGATTTTAAATGGTTCTATTCTAATTAAAGATGTAATTTTTTGTGCATGACCCTATGATGTGAAAGCTCATTTTAGTTACTTATGCCATTTTAGAGATTAAAAAAACCAAACATTCACAGGCATATTTGTTAGTCATGATTAATTTATTGATGAATCTAACCAAAAGTGTCTGATAATATAGAAGTTACTGAGATGAAGTGAGTAATATTCAGCAGGTCATGTGACCTCAAGCATTTTTTAACAGGAGGACTGCTAATTATTGTTTAAAATGTTTTTTTTTGTGAAAATACAAAACAAATACAATGTGTTAAACACATAATTTAACTTATTATTATTATTATTATTAATGTGAATAATAAAAATAATGTACATCAATAATGATTATTAATGCCTTTGCAAATAATCATTGTAAATACATTGACATTTAGCTGCTAAAGGGGAAAACGCTTCTAAAGTAAACAGTTACATTAATTTGTGTAAATAATAAGTCTTAATTTTGCATACAAATTTTAGACCGTTTTGTTTTCAGTAACTCTTATTGATTATTGTTCTAATTGCTTTTAGGTTGCTTTCTTTGTCTTCTGTTCAGATTATTTTCTGGTCTCTCCTCCCATTTGTCACCCCACAAGGGTCATCAGACGATCTCCTCCCCTCTGTTCCACCCCTTCTGCCTTCCCTTCCTCCTCCTTTCTCTCATCTGTCCTATATCTGACTTCATGCTCTGCCATTCACCGCTGTGATTGACAAACAAAGAAGAGATTATTTCCCTTAGAGAGAGATGGATGCAGAAAGACGCAGAGAAAAGGACAATGATGACTGATTGATGCAGATAAAGCTTAACTGGGAAAAGAGAGCGAGTTGCGGATCACACTGAGTGATGGGTCCATGGCAGAGATGAGAGATGTCATGCTGATATGATGGCTCAGATGAAACACATTGTGTCTCATGCATCGTTAAGCACATCAAATAGTGCACACATGGACTAATGCACACATGTGCACATGCTCCATTGAGTGACCTAAAACACCGGAGCGCTCTCCTAAAACCCTGATCTCCCTAATATTTTGTGCCTTTAGTAGCTCAGTGAATGTGTTCTCATTCAGAACTGTTCAAAATACTCATTTTTGAAACAAAATAAATGTATCCATGAAGCAATATTACATATGATTTATTTTCAGAAAATTGAATATGCTTTTTTTTTTATTGCTACAATGGCAGATTTTTTTATTTGTTTGAAGCATAAAACTAATTAAATGTATTATTTTTATTTCCCGAAATAATTTAGTTACCGATATTCTTCAAAATTTCATTATTTAATAATTTTTTAAGCATATTGAGCGTCCCTAAAAGTACTAAAAGAACATTTAATGTAATCGTTAAGAGACCAGAGTTAGTAGTTCACCCAGTTTGAATCATGATACAGGTCAGAAGAAATATAAAAATATTTCTCTTAGCTGTTCTCCTATTTTATAATTAATTAATTAACTTAATAATTCATTCATTCATCCTGAAACTTTTTTTAAATAGTATTTGATTGTTTTTTATTTTACAGCATAGACATTCTTGATATTGTTTTACACCGCAAGTGTCTATTAGAAAATAAGAAATAAAATGATACATTTAGTATCAATGTATCAGATTTTTCACAAACAAATGAAAAATCTGCCATTGCATCAAAAAATTTTCTTATAACAAATCTTATGTAATATTGCTTCACGGATAAATGTATTTTGTTTCAAAGATGTTTTTGACACTGATGTTTTCACATGTTTACTGGAAATAATGAGACAAACCAACTGATCTAAGTTTTTTTTTGCAGCAGCAGCAGCATATGTGCGCATAAGATTTTGTCCTGGGCTGAGGAAACTCGCCGTAGATAAAAATATTTTCTTTCTCTCTGTATTGCGTTCTCTCTTTTTCCCTCTGTCGCCCTCACATCAATTTTCCCCCCTCTCCCGGCGCTGCCCCCTTGGTGCCTTGGCGATGTTGCCATAGCAACAGAATCAGATTTTGAACACTGAAGCTGCGAGATGAATAATGCACTGCAGGTCTCTCTGCCAGTGTGTGTGTGTGTGTGTGTGTGTGTGGGCACTGCGTATATATGAGTGCTATAGCCGCAGAGCGTCATTATTCAATATCTCTTATCTAACACTGCCAGATTCTCACAAAGATTGTGTCTGTTTATATATTTATGTATTTGTGTCCACTGTTTAATTGTGAGTACTTTTTGTCTTGTTTAATGGATAATGCTTTGGCTCAGTAATTGACCCATCAAGCCAGAATCAATTCTATTTAAAGAAGCCAGGACTCATAAAAAGTAATGGCTTATTTTCCATTACAACGACATTAACCTCAGCTGATCTTGTTAAGGTTTGAAAGTCTGAGGTTGTTTATCCCGAATCGCATTTATGTTTGAAAGTGACCCATCTATGTCATCAGTTCAAGCCAACCACATTTCTGAACGATCATAGACCTGCACATTTAATCAAAATCAATAGAGCAAAACCACAATACTCTGTACTGAAATTAATGTACTATTGTATGTACTAAGGTGCTTGAAGAAATGGTACTGCTACAAATAAACATGGAAGTACCTTTGTAATTGAGGTGCTCTGTTTTTTAGTTAAGTGTGCTTAATGATTCAGTATGATCATATTACCATCTTAAATCAACACTGTAGCACTTATGAATCAAATATTTTCATACTCATTATACTTTAACAACCAGTTTTGTATACAGTTACTATTATTCTACAAACAGAACTGTTAGCATATGTGCCCACTCACGCGATCTAACAGATGATTGTGCGGATGATTGTGGTCAGTGCTGTTAGCGTGAGGGTTTCTGGGTAACAGTGGGAAATCCTCGGTGAGCCACGTGACTCCTGACCTTAACAAAGAATGACAGCTTGACCTCTCTCTCGATATCTCTGTCTCACACACTCTTAAGCTTATAAGAGCTGTCCTGCCTAAATCCTCTTGTATTTGAGGGACAGAGAAAAAGAGTAACACATGCAGGAAAATGTGCACATGGCATCAGATAAAATGCTCACGCGTACACACTAAAACCACCCTGAGATTAATGTACTTGAAATAATTTTCTAAATATATACTGTATGTGTGTGTATTTATGTATACATAATAAATATACACAGTACACATACATAAATTATGTAAACAAAAACTTTAAACAAAAAATTAATCGTTTTACAGCACTACAATAAATGCTTCATTATTGCACATTAATTCCTTTGTGTTAATTTACCCATATAGGTATTACTGTAATAACAAATGTCCAAAAGAGTAAATGTCAGCTTCATAAAGTGTTTAAATGGACTGAATGGTTTTTTTAATGTTTTTGAAATAAGTCTCTTTTGCTCACCATTTCTACATTTATTTGATCAAAAATATAGTAAAACTGAAATATTATGAAAATTTTAAATAATGGTTTTCTATTTGAATATTTTTTTTAAATGTTCAGTTGCTGGCAAAGCAGATTTTCAGCAGCCATTACTCATTGACTAGAAAGTTTAAAAGAAAAAGAACAGAAAATTACGTGAACAATGTTTGATATGTACATATATGTGTATATATATATATATATGTATATACAGTAGTCAGCATTTGAAGTGGATCAAAAAAGTTCATAAAATTGTCCTAAGACAAGAACACATTTTGGTTTTAAGTTTTAGGACAACTTTGGTGAAAGGTTTTGATCCACTTCAAATGTTGACTTGTGTGTGTGTGTGTGTGTGTGTGTGTGTGTATATAGCACACACATATACACACACACACTACAGTTTAGGTTGACTATAAGCGTTCAATTTTTTTCTGATACAAGCTGGAAACTTTTGGGAAAGCGCATGGATTAGTTTTATTGTCTTTGTAAAAGTAAAAAACAACACTCTGCTCTGCTAACCTGGGCATTTTCATGTTTTTGTACTCTTAGTGTTTCAGAATAAAGACGTTGCTTGTGTGAGAGAGTTGATTTACAGCCTATATAAAAGAATCTGCCACATTCACATGAGCTAATTCCCGTTTTGATCACTTTCCCGCAGTGCTGGCATTGCAGTTGGTTTCTACGGAAACGGCGAAACGTGCGATGGCATGACACGCCTGACATACTCTTTGCGCCATGCTAACCAAACAGTGGCAGGCATCGACAAACTGGTGAGTCATTGACGTTTTTGTTTGTTCTGAGCTGGGGACATTTTGCCTTATCCAGGTGTTAAAAACATACTTAACTGCACTTCTGTTGTTAGTCCTAAATACCTAACTACTTTTTTTCAAGCACTTTACCACGATTGCTAGCTATTTTACAGCCCTGACTAATAGGGTCGCACGGCATACCAATACTAAAGGACCGTGGTGCCAAAAATGTACCTCTGTCTCTACTGAACTCCCCACTGCTGAGGCTAGAGTTCATTGCCCTTTGCTGAACACTTTAACTCAAATAAACACTCTGCTTCTGTTGCCAAATACTGTACTGCACCTCATAGCCATCGCTAAAACCCCCAGCTTACAGGGTTATTAAATGTTAATGCATTCATAAGGTTGAGGGTTTAATTGTTTTGGTTGGCTGGCTAGGACTTAATTATGTGTATCAAAATATCCATTAGCAACTGTTAGAAAGCCTGAGAGGTCATCGAGTCCTAGTTTTCATTCAGTGAAAGCCGAAAAGGAAAATAAAGTTTATCTAATAATCAATTAATGAATCAAATTTATTTAACGATCAACACTTGTTGTATGTAAGCTTGTAAATTGCACAGCATTGAAATGTCACAACAATTCCGGCCTTTCAAAAGTTTTGACTGAAACCGAAAAATCATTTTCAGCTGAATAGCAATTAAGATCAAAGTGTATTTCACTTTGACACAAACAGCTGAACGCATAGCCTTTCAAAGCATCCTCCATTTGATAGGGTCGCTTATGATAACCTACATTATGACCTGCCAGTTTGATTCAGGGGGCAGAAAAAAAGGATCTGATTTATTGAGCCTAAAATATGTGCTTGTTTATGTGTTTTAGGTATCAGAGAGCACCAGCAGTCTGAATGAAACCCTGCAGGAGGGTTTGGTGCAGCTGGAGACTGTGTACTCCAAACATACAGACTACCTGTCCATCGTCCAGAAACTGCAGGGTCAGCTGGACGAGCTGATCAATCTGATGGTGGAGGTGCCTTTCTGGAGCAGTACGGATATCTCTCTGGATCACCTGGCATCCCTCACTGAGCAGTATGACTGGTACAGGTAATTAAGAAGTCCAGTCTAGTCATCATGCTCTGTGATGGCTAAATTTGTTTCAGAGGTATTACCCAGATAGTACTGGTTTCTAAAATCCTCTTGGTTTTTTACAAAGTAGTAGTCTGGCATGATTTGTTTTTCACATAAGAATGACTAAATGTCCAAAGAAGTAAATTAAGAGTTTATGGACATGCACAATAGAGTTTCTCAATAATAAAGTCCAGACTTGTTACTACTTTTGGATGGAGTTATAAAGACATTTCCAGCCATCTGGAAGAGATCATGTGTATGTGTGTTTTGTAGGTGGTTGGGTTATCTGGGTCTGCTGCTCTTTGATGTTATAATCTGCCTGCTCATTTTGGTTGGTCTCATACGCAACTCAAGAAGCATCTTGATCAGGTAAGTGCAGAAATGATTAACACATGTTTTTAGTTAATATCACACACAATAGCCACCCATGTAATCTATCACAAAATGGTTCCTAAAGAACCTTTTCTATACCTTTAAGAAACAACATATTAATATTGTTTTTCTTTTTTATTTAGTGTCAAAATTTATAATTTTTTATTTCTATCCAAAATTACACTATTTTACTCAATATTACCCAATATACAGTATATGTATTTTTGTGCTGATTTGCTATCTGTGAAACAGCTGTTATTTTTACCTAAAATGATTAAAACTTTCACTTTCATTAACTAAAATAAAGCTAAAATAAATAATAAAATGGATAGTTCCGGTCCTTGATTCTGATTGGCTGAGCCACGTTCGACGCTGTTGTAAATTACCGTATTAGCCCGAATATAAGACAACCCCCCTTTTTCCAGATGTGCCTTTTAGAAAAAGGCTTTTTAAAAACCAAATCTGTTTTTTTCTCAGTAAAACACATTTTGTCTTCAATTATTTTCATATTGCATATTTTTTCTATTTTAATTTTTGTTTTGAAGGTATGGTAAAAACTGGTAAAATGTACCAACAATCACATTAAAAAAATATACACTTTTTGATATACCATAAAATAAAAAAAACAGGTAGCCCATCTGAATTAGGCCATTTAGGCCATCCATCTAATAGTCGCCTACCAAAATCTTATTAACAGTAGAAGTTAAATCTTACTGTAGTCTTCAAATCTGGGTACTGTCTTACGTTTTAAAATCACAAAGGGAGTTTGGTCCCATCAGGCTAACGTGACAGTCACGACTCATGCCGCTGTAAGGTTTTCTTTTTCTTTTGTTTTTACTCGCGATCTTTACAACGCGCATTACATTACGTATTTCATGGCACCCTTGTTTTATGCTTCTTTGGCGCCACCTATTGTTGTGGGTGTATTATTGACATGTCAAAGTCTAGACCCTGCATATAAGACGACCGCGTTTTTTCAGATGCATTTTCAAGAAAAAAACATTGTCTTATATTCGGGTCAATACGGTACTCTACAAACATACACTTTTGTTTACTTCTGTGTGTTGCTCGGCAAACACTTTGTTGCAACCACAAATGATTCTGAGGAACTACATTGTTTGGTGGAAGAATACTGTTTTTATTAATATCATTACACTTTATTTGCTCTGTTTTATTTTGTGAAACCGTACTACGTATATGGAATAACCGTTTTATAAAAGCAATAAGCCCCGTGAAGCCGTGGTTTACAGTGAATTTATAACAGCTAAGGGGGTTCTAACAACGCCCCTTAGCTCTTATAAATTCACTGTAAACCACGGCTTCTTGGGGCTTATTGCTTTAATAAAATATTAGATGCAAAACTTGAATTTACTAAAATTACAAAAGTAAACCTGAATTGAAATGAATGCTAAATGCTAAAATGAATAGAAATGCTAAAATGAATAGAAATTCAGAAACAAAAACAAAAAAACCTAAACAAAATGACTAAAAGTTAAAGTACAGTTAAAATGAAGCATTGCTAAATACTATATTAGTATATAAATTATATAAATAATACTAAAACAACAGTGTTATAAAATCAGATTTTAATAATATTTATGGGTGTTACTGAATTCGGCAGGATGGTTTGAGATGTGACATGACAATATAGAATCACAGAGAGTGAGTGACCTGGAATTAAACTCTGAACACATATCAGTAGAATTTAAGGAATGTAATTTACTTTGACTCACAACAAAGAAATCTTGAAGTGTAAGAAAAATAATGAATGTCAGAATGTTGATATGCAAGATCATGTGATATTTCAGGGAACATCAAAAGGGATTTTCTTGTTTTCCTGGTGGATTGCAGGAGGTGCCTCAGATTAAACTGCACTACCTGAGTTTACAGTTTCACTTTGAAAATTTCCAGGTTGGAAATCGTTGTGTGAAAATGCCTATTTTTAGCCTGTAACTATGCAAAATTGAGATTCATTCTCTGAAAGCCTTTAGAAATGGTGTGAGAGAGAGAGAGCACGAATCAGAGAGAGGAGTTGGCAGAGGAGAGAAGGATTCAGGCAAAACTAAATCTATTTAGTTTACTAGGGAGGGTGAAGATCTCCCCTTGATTCACTCTGACTCACTTTTTCACTCCTTCTGCTGCAATTAGACACCTCTTCTGCCGCGTGTTATGTACATGCATGTTTGTTTGTGTTTATATTAGTGTTTTAGGGCGCATGTGTATCTAGAAGCACATTTGGTGAGTGGGAGGTTGTTTGAATCTCCAGAGATGTTTTCAATCTGGGTTACTCACCATGAGCCTAAACAAGTTTAAAAAGAAACCAACTAGAAAATATCCATCAACAACACCGAAACATTTCGGCTTTGCTTACAGGAATAACTATAGACACTCATTCGCCTAGTCCCACCATTAAAAGACTCAAATGACAGCCATTATTGTAGAGAAGAATTAAAATAAGCACTCTAAAAAAGTGTCCGAATTTTTTCCATTGTAAGCGCATGACCATTTTTTTTTTTCATATTTTCTGTGGTAATGAATAATCTCTTTCTCTCCTTCAGTGTTTGTTTGCTAGGTGTGCTGACGCTGGTGATCAGCTGGGCTTCACTTGGGCTGGAGTTTTCTGTTGCTGTGGTGAGTATATTAGCAAAAACACCTTTAATTCTATTCAATTTTATGCCAATATATTTCTGTTTGGTTCTATGGCTGTCTAAAAAGACTAGAGACAAATTATGTGGGGATTATTTTCTTCAGGGGAATATATAATAAAATAAGTATATACACTACTCTTCTAAGTGTGGGGCCTAAAAGATGTTTCTAAAAAGTCTATTATGTTCACCAAGGCTGCATTTATTTAATCAACGGTAATATTTTTAAAACGGTAATATTGCCAAATATTATCACAATGTAAAATAACTGCTAATGTAATTTATTACCGTGATGCAAAGCTGAATTTTCAGCATCATTACTCCAGTCTTCAATGTCACATTGTCCTTCAAAAATCATTCTAATATGCTGAATATAAATGTGAAACTTCATATTTATGTGGAAACCGCAATGCATCATTTTCAGGATTCGGTGATTAATTAGAAAGTTCAAAAGAAAAGCATTTATTGGATCTAGAATTTTTTGTATAATAATGTGAATGTCTTTCCTGTCACTTTTGATTAATTTAATGAGTCCTATCTGAATAATATTAATCCCTTTAAAAGCTAACTGACCCCAAACGCTTGAAATTGCAGTATTTAGATCTGTCACTTAAATGTGTTTGTTTTTAGGCCTGTATTTGAGGGTTTGTGTTGTGTGTGTGATCCATGCTTCATGTGTTGTTCTCTTCCTTAGACTGCCAGTGATTTTTGTGTTGCCCCTGACTCTTACATCACCAAAGTGACACGTGAGAATGCCGTTATCAACCAAGGTATGTGTCCCTAAGTCAAGTTGAGTTTGTTTGTCTTTCACACAGTTTATGCAGGGTTCACTGGGCATTTAGATGCTTGTGACAAGGCTCAGATCACAAAAAAACCCTCACAATGGCATAGACAATTATATACAGACAGAAACAGATACATTCGTTATGTTACCAAAAGTAGTAGAAGTACAGATTAAAGAAAGTACTAAATGCATTTGTTTCTTACTTGCATTTTATTTATTTATTTTTATATATATACTGATAATTCAATGCATTGTCAAAGACTTGAACTCAATACTCCCCACTGAAAATGTGTATGCTCACAATCGCTCTTTCATTCACTTGAAATATCCTGGAGCATTGCTGTGCAGAGGAGGCTTTCTTAAAGGGTGTTAATGTACAAAGCAGGTTTTGTATCTTGCGCTCAGACCTTGGCTTTCCTGAACAGACATGAATGTCATTGCTAATTAGTTCCCACAGGGGATACAATTCATGATCCTCTCAGTCCCTACACAACACATTCTCAATGAATACTCATTCACACTTGCATACACACTTATTCTTCACTGCTGGAAGCATTCACATTTCTCTTTGTTTGTCTTTGTTGAAGGCAATGGGAGGTGTGTCTGCAGACCAATAAATCTTGTCAATAATCTTACATCTGTGTATTTACTTCCTCCTGCATATTCATTAACAGGACACATAAAACGCTTCTGTTCAAAAGTTTGGGGTCAGTAAGGTTTTTAGAGTAAGAAATGAATACTGAATATCTGAAGTGACAGTAAAGATGTTTATAAAGCATTTTTAAATTACTTTTTGTCTGTTCATCAAAGATTCAAAATTCAGCTTTTTCAGAAAATTCAGTTTTGTCATGACAGGAATAAATTGTTTTAAAACATATATTAAAATACAAAGCAGTTATTTTAATTTGCAATTATATTTTAAAGTATTACTGTATTTCTTGTCGAGTAAAAGAGATGATTTCAAACACAACAAAATATCTCACAGACTCCAAACCTTTTGAATGGTTATGTATATGATATCATGTAATAGTAGCAAATGATAAATACACAAAATTACTAAAATAAAATTAGTTTACACAATATTTATTGAAATTCACTCAAACATATCTTAAAGCTAAAATTATGCCATATTTGCCGGTTCATAGGTTTCTTACAGTTACGTTTTATTATATTTTTTTCTATTTTTATCGTATCCATCTGCACCCACTATAAGTGTGATGATTTGGAGTGTGAGGTTAATTAATCATTAAACCTCTGCTTCTCTCATTCTCTTTCTCTTGTCTGTTTTTCAAGCACATGAACACAGTAATAGGGTTCAGATTCATGCAGCACCTTTACAGTCATCTCTCTCTCACATACACTCATACTCACACATACACACAGAAAAGACACTTGATATCCTAACAAATGAAGCTAGTTGGCATTGTCAGTAATCTCAGCCAGCTGGCTTAGTAAATAATGAACTAGCGGGTCACAGTGACTCGAGAGGCAGATGCATGCAGTGCTTCCAACAGATTCACTGCCAAGTTTTGTTAGTTTGCATCGACTGTTTTCTTTGCAGCGTGATTTCAACATTATTTCAATATCTGATCAAGAATATCTGTGTATTGATCGACGCAAGATGAGGGGAATGTTTGGGAAGCCTACCATTATGTGATGTCTCACATTTGAGGAGTAAAAAAATTAACATATTTATTGAATTCATGTGTATTGGTTATTATCTGTGTTAGATATCATGCAGTATTATCTGAGGTGCAGCATGGGACAGACCAACCCATTTCAGCAGGTACATAATTATTCTTCCTCTGTTCTATTTCTCATTGTCTCTCTTGTTCTCTTTCATGAATTATAAATCGGTCCTCTGATTTGCAGAAACTCTCCGGAAGCCATAAAGCTCTTGTGGAGATGCAGGATGATGTTTCCGAGCTCTTGCGCTCAGCTATTCGAGAATTCCCCAAGACTAAGGTGTGAGATTGCGGATGTACTCAGTACTGTACGAGAAACTCAGTACTCCGTACATATTCTGTGCTCGGTATATGGATGTTTATTTGTTTATGTTCTTTGTCTCTCTATGGGTTGGTTATCAGAGTAACCTGGAGGAGATGCAGGCGGTGTTAAACTCCACTGAAATCAGTCTCCACCACCTCACTGCCCTGGTCGACTGTCGGGGCCTGCACATGGTGCGTGTGTTAATATGAAAAATATACAAATTTTTTTAGATGACTTCACTTTCAATGTCTTTAAACTGACAAGTAAATTCTGTGTAATGACAAAATGATGCATTATACTTTTAAAGCTGCTACATAAAATAAATGCATTATTATTATTATTATTATTAAAAGTGTATGCCTCTGATCCACCTTACCCCCTGATATCTGTGTTTTACAAAAATTTTATTAGAATTGTTCAGTGTGGTGGAAATCACACCACAAATGTGGGACAATCAGTTTCGCACTGAGTATTCAAATTAATTTTAATATGTTTAAAATTGAAAGTCTTTGGGATATTTTTATAATTTTCATGACTCATGAAGTCACCAGTGCACCAGGCAAGCTTGGAATATGGAAAAGCTTACATTCAGCGGATGAAAATGTTGCCAATACATTGATTTTGTGAGAAGAAAAGACGATCTGAACACCAATGTATAAGGTGTGGCATTATGGAAGTGGTGGCATTGCTTTACTCTGGCATTACATGGCTTGCCCACCCATATCCCTTTGATCCCGATATATAAATTGTATCACTATAATTAAAAATCTTTTGGAAAACAAAACATTTTTTACGAACTTCTGCTATTTCTTTTGATAAAATCATGAAATATAATCGTATATGGGTAACAGAGAAAGTATAGCTACAATTAGCTTCAAGCTACACATGACAATTAATGAGTGTTTGTAATAACTTCTGACTGTGATCCAATGTGGATTTTGGTCAAATGATGAGGCAGAAATATATTGCTAGTAACATTTCAGAAGAATTTTTGGGTAAGATATGCAATTACAATTTCTGTGGGGTGTGAAGGAAAAGTAATGTAACTAGTAGTGTAGTGTAACTAATTACTGTTGCCAGAAAGTAATAAGTAAAGTAATAATATTACTTTTGAAAGGAGTAACTAGTAAAAGGTAATAAATTAAATTTTTTGAGTAACAAGCTCAACACTGACTACCGTTAAAAAGTATGGGGGTAAGTACGATTGTGGAATTTATTTATTTATTTGAGAAATTACATTTTTCACAGCAAGTACACATTAAATTGTTTAGTAGTGACAGTAAAGAACATTTTAATGTTACTAAATGTTTCTATTTCAAATAAATGCTGTTCTTTTGAATTTTCAATTCATCAAAGAATCTTGAAACAAAGATATCAAAGATACATTTTTAAGAATAATAAAGTTGAATTTATATAAAATATAGTTGAATCAATTGTAATAATATTTCACAATATTTCTGTATTTGTATCAAATAAACAGCCTTAGTGAGATTTCTTTCAAAACCATTTAAAATCTTACTGACCCCAAACTTTTGTATTACAAAAAGGGGCATAAAAGTGTTTGAAGTTGAAGGAACACTCATATATTACTTCCCATGATTATGCTTGTACTACCTGTGCAAATGCATTTATGCCACTTCCTTTAGAGTGTTGAAAGACTTCCAAAGCAAGACTTTTCATATTACTGTTCATCATTTTTTTTTCTTTCTCACAGGACTATGTGCAGGCTCTGACCGGACTGTGTTACGATGGAGTGGAGGGGCTTATTTATCTGGTCCTTTTCTCATTCATCACTGCGCTAATGTTTAGCTCCATCGTTTGCAGTGTGCCTCACACTTGGCAGAGCAAGAGGTGAGAGGGCAAGGGTCAAAATGCTCCAAAAAACGGGGGATGGGTTGAGGAGGGCAAGGTATATTAAATGCAGCTCCAGTAGACAGGCAAGGACTTCAGTTCATGGACAGAGAATTGACTGCCAGTCACGTGTTTGTTTAATGCTTTTATTTTCACATCTGCTCCTTCTGTTTTCACATATTAATCATCTTCTCATGACTGTGTGTGGCTTCTGTTGTCTTGTCGTTCATTCCTCTTTGTGTCTTAGATTTGGAAAACCCACTGCCCTGTAGTATGTGTGAGAGACACACTTGTTTTGTAGTGCTCTATGGGTAATCTAAATATAGCTTGCGTATAAAAGCAAAATAGTAGTACATTTTGAGAGGAGTATTTTGAATTACGGCAATGGAGGTATTTGTTATTTGACTCGCGGTATAGCATCTGTCTGCAATAACGCTTGTGCAAAGGGAAAGAACAAAGAGACCCTATTCTAAATTCTGTACTAAGGCAGACCGACATTTCTATGGACGAAGCTGCCTCCCTTTGGACTATCTTGAAACTGCAAGAAAGGCTTATGTGCATTTGTGAAGAGTATAATGATTATTGAAACATGTTGGTGATGTGATTACACACTGGGCAAGCTGGTCCGGAAAAGGTCTGTTAAGAGTTACACATATGAAAGATATCTTGATCAAAGTGGCATCCAAATCTACACTTTCACAGATCCACTATTTCTTTTTTTTATTCCCTTTCTTAAATGCGTCCCCCCTCCTTTTTTACGTTTCAAATCCGATTCATAGTGGTTGTTTGTTGATTTAATGCATGACTGAAATCACTGAGAAAGTTCAATGGTTGCTGAGGACAATCCATTAGACATGCCAAGGAAATCCACAGTAGTTTTTGTGAGATTCTTGAATTTACTTGATTTGTTCTGACTAGCATCCATGGCTGTAGGATTGTTTTTACTTTTAATTTTATTTATAATTTTTTTTTTCCCACTGAATATGCACATTTATTGACGCAAATACATAATAAATGAAATGGAGATGCTGCCCCATCCCAAATTAACCACAAGACAATTTTTTTGGTTGTTGTTTTAGCATCCTGACTGCCAATTTTACGCTTATTCTAAAAATGCCCAGATGACTTAGTTTGGAATATGAGTAATGAGCTTGGTTTTTCTTGTTCTGCCATTAGAAGTCATTAATAGGAAAATTGGCTTTTGAAATCAAGAGTTAAGGACAACAAGAGCTTGATGTACATTAGATTTCCCAGTAAACACCGTGGAGAGCTCAAATCAATAGTGATTTTAAATGAATTCTTTTAATTTAATATTTATTTTCATATGAATATTTTATAAAATATAATATACACTATCATTCATATTTGATTTAAAAAATAGCAAAAAAAATTAATTATTACGATTTAAAATAACTATTTTCTATTTAAACATATTTTACTCCTGTGATGGCAAAGCTGAATTTTCAGCAGCCATTACTCCAGTCTTCAGTGACATACTGAATGAATGAGAAAGTTCAAATGATTTATTTGAAATAGAAATATTTTGTAACATTATAAATGTCTTTACTGCCAATTTGATCAATTTAATGTGTTTTTGCTGAATAAAAGTATTCATTCCTTTCAAAGAATAAATGTTACTCATCCTGGATTTTAACTGGTAGTGTATTTGTGATAATTTTATTTCAATTTCAATCATTTAAAAAAAAAATTGTTTATAGTCATTAATAAAATAATATGCAGTATAAAAATATTATGCATGTCCAAAAGAACACATTTTTGGCTAAAAGGTATTGAAAGACTAAATGTGGAGTTTGAGGATTTGAGAGAAAATTTGATCTGAATGCATGTATTTCATATAAAGCATGCAATGATTCTAGCTTGAGTAAGATTTTTTTTTTCTTTTTCTATAATATATTTTTTACAGTATATACAGTCATGAACATTCACTTTGAAAAGGATGACAAAGATAAATCTGGGAAAAACAAATGCATGAAACTATTATCCATCAGTATGCTTTAGAGTCATTTTAGGACTGGCGTGAAAAATGGTTTTAAAGAGATCTAACTAAGTCCAGTGAGAGGAGAGACCTTTTCCCTCCCCTCTGACCCAGGGGCACGTGTTTCACCTGTGCTAATTTGTCCGAAGGTCTGAGGAGGAGGATGGCGATGAGACTTCGGCCACACTCGGCCCGCGAGCGCCGCATGATAACCTGTACCGCGTACACATGCCTAGCCTGTACAGCTGTGGCAGCAGCACCTACGGCAGCGAGGCTAGTCTCCCCGCTGCAGCACACACTGTCAGCAACGCACCAGTCACTGAGTACATGTGAGTGTAGCCACGCTAACCTCATCCTAATGCATGAGCTGGATTTGAAGGACCGTGTCGGTATTACAGGTCCTGTAGCATAGGCTCGCTAGCCTAGATTACTGCATGGGCTTTGCTCGATTTACTGTAGGCATCAGATCAGTTGCTAATACTGCATATGTTTTACTTCTTGATTATAGTTATTATATATAGAGCCTCTGAACGGCATGTAGAAACAAATATAATATGGCATGGGAATTATAAGTAGATAATTCAGTTTGTGCAATGAGTTTTACTATATGATAGGTAATGTTTTACACAACCCAAGCGATATCTACCATGATCTACATATATAGTGCATAGTGGTATCACTCAGTGGCTTTGCGTATTACTCCTACCCTGCATTTCAAAGCTTTTTGTCAGAATTTGTAAAGTTTAGTGCATCGCGGTGTGGAAATCCCTCCCTTGAAGAGGGAGTCAGAGTAACTGGTATCTCGTTTGTGACGCAGGAGCCAGAATGCTAACTTTCAGACCCCTCGGTGCGAGAACACGCCACTCATTGGCAGAGAATCCCCCCCGCCGTCAGTAAGTGCACAAGCACATTTACACAAACACACATGTTTGTAGGTGTACAGTCGTTATTTAGCGCAGTGTCACACATTCAGGTACTCTTTTAGCAAAAGGAATGGATCTTCTTGAAACCCTGTCCCATGCTTGACATAATTGATTTATAGTTCTTTAGATAATCCAGAAAACAGGATGTTAGTGTGGTCGTATTTATCCTCGTCTCTTACTGATGAGTATGCAATTACCAGCTTTGGCGACTGTAAAACTTCACTTTTAGTGTAGTTTTATCATATTGATGAACATTGCCAACTCAAACACACACACACACACACACACACACACACGCACACGCATAAAGAGTCTTGAAGGTCATTTTGGCAGCCTGTATGCGACACTAATTATAAGTCCTCACAAACAACATGGTAAAATAGATCCAGCCAAATTTGTCATCATTTGCTTATTTTTTCCCCTTGTAACATGAAATAAAAGGTTCTCTTTTCCATACAAGAAATGTTAATGTCAATGGGAAGGACGTGGTCCAAACATGACAAAAAGGCACCCTAAAAGCTGTTTATACAAGTGAAGCCTAGCGATAGCTAAATAAAATTGTAAGATATCATTTCACTTTAATTTACTCTATATCTTCAATACAATATCTTTTCAATACCATGGGGTATTATTATTACAAACATGAATGTGCAATTCTATAATTATCTGTCCACAAAAATGTTGGAAATGTTGGAAATATGAAAATAATTGGCAACATATTGCAATTCCAAATGCACGTTAAACTCACACAACTTGCAAAGATGGAGTCTGCTGCATTTACTGTGAACGGAGCCACTCTTGAGATTGTAAAAACGCTGGATCATGAACTGTAAAAATAGTGATGCACTTCACTATGAAACATACAGTGCAACTGACTATATACTTAATTAAATAAAATACACTCTGTCACCTTGATGTCAGAGTAAGGAGAAAGCGCAGTTGGTACCAGTGTACTGGTGCTGTGGAAAATGAGCATTAAAACCCTTTCAAATGTTCAGAATCTAGATTTTTTGCAAATAACAACTTAAATTTCGGTCTCTTCTCTCAAAGCTATTGTACACCTTCATAAGATTTGTAATATAATGCATTGTAAGTGTAGACTACATTTAGGGTATATTTATGGCCTTTGTTTGTCATTTTTTGGTGCTTAACAGCGTTCATTTCCATTCATATGCATTGTATGAAAAAGGGCTGCATGAACATTTTGCTAAATTTCACCTTTTGTGTTCTATAGAAGATCATTTGTATGGATTTGGAGTAAATGGTGGTAGAGTATGCATTTTGGGTAAACTATTTCTTTAAAATGTATTCTGATATGTCATTTATTTCTCCTTTTATGTTTAAGTTAAGGCCCCTCACTGAGTGGAAGTGGGTTTTGCAATGCTACAGAATCCTGGAGTTTGCATGATTGCATGTACAGTCAATGACAAGACCAGAGAATGCTTTTCCTGGTTCATGCGCTGTGAATAAGGGAGCACGGTACTTTTTTCTGAAGGGGCAGGGCAGCTCTTTTAATCAGACTTCGCATGCGAGGGCATCTTTCATTCTCCCACTAGTTTGAGTTCAGTAAATGAGAACACTCAGACCTCTTCTAAGCACCGCTCTCACTCCACCTTACTTTCTAGGTGTTTTTTCCTTTTGATTTAGTGTTTACGGGTCCTGGACGTGACGCATGCGTATTCAAACTCCAGACTGGAGAGACCACCCAAGAAACCATGTTTCTTTGAAAGGATGTAATCTGATTCTCAATAATGTCATGGTCCAGGATGCTGCTTTTTGGTGCCTGTTCTTGCTGGAATTGGAAGTGCCGATATATTATGGAATAGTCTCTCCTTCTCTGGATTTTATGATTCAAAATATGCATGAATTTTGTCTCTTTCTCACCCAACTGAAAAACATCCCTCATGCATGTCTGTTTGGTAAAGTGTCTCACATTATAACCCCACCCCTAAACAGCTGTTAATATTATCCCACATATAGCTGCATTATCTATATGTGCCATTCTCATCTGTTCTTTTTTTCCCAATTTGTCATGGTCTTAACTTTTCTTCCTTTCTTTCATTTTCACATTAATTGCACTCTTTTTAACCAAACTTTCACTTAAAAGCCGATCGTGAGGAGAAAAGTATCTTATAATGATAATATGCTTCATCACAGTAACTCTTGGCTTTAAAAAAAACATCAGGCTGTCCAAATGACTGTCAGTTTGTCTGTTACGCATGTGAGTGAGTTAGTGAGAACGACAGAATGAGGTTCATATTTATATGTGCTTCATGTTTGTAAGAGCTACAGCTATACTCTGTCCTAATGCCATTTAGACGCTGCAACCTTTCCTCACTTTGACTAAATAATCGTGCCACATTAGGAAAAACGTTTTATATCGTATTGTGAAAATAACTCTTCAGAATGATGTGATGGTGTCTTCCTTCCCCTTTTCCTTGTTTTCTCACCCTGTTTTGCAGTACACCTCAAGCATGAGGGCCAAATATCTAGCAACCAGCCGCCCAGACCAATCCAGGCCATCAGAATCCCAGAATGGTCTGGTGCCCAACATGCGACCAGACCTAACCAGCCGTTCAGCTCCAAACAGCCGACCAAATTCAGCTATCCACCGACCCCACTCCGCCATCCATTAACTATCCTCAAATGCGTAACCAATAGTCATCTACCTGTCAGGTCCACCAGTACGAAGTTTGACTCCACATCAATGTTCAGCCCAGTGAAGAAATTCACCCCAACATCTTTATTTGATTGGAATCAGTCATCCATGCTTACCTACTCTGGCTTCTTAAAGACTCCATTCTGCCAAATTTGATTCAAACTGCCATTTTTTTACTCCCCTAATCATCACAGCAACTACACTGCCCTCTTCTGGAGGACTCCTCTCAGTCGTCAGCACAGTAGCTCCCATACTACCCTTACAGAGATTCTCTCAGGGCAGCCATATTGGCAAGGACTGCAGGACCACATTATCACAGGATAATGGTTTATACCTCTCATTTTTAAATCTCTTGCCTTGCTGTGCAAGAAATGTCACTATGACATTTGATTTTATGATGGAGTTCTATTTTTAAGCGTTTTGCGAGATTACATATAGTTTAACGAGGTTTTAAAGATGCAGCTTTTGCGCTTTCTCTGCAGTTCCTGACAATATGGCAGCATTCTACTACTACAACCACAATCCAAGGTATTCATCATTGCCATTTGATGTTAACAGAGATGTTTACTCGTTTACAAATGTTCATGAGTTAACTGAATCACATATTTGTGACTCTGTGGTTAAACAAACATTCCTGTCATGAAAGGCCACTCTTTGTATTTACAGTACAGTGTAATCTATGGTGTACCAGTGTGAATTGACAGCCATTAAGCCTTTGAGCCATTATGCACATTCAGTATTTTATTCTAGAAGGGAACAGTTGCACAGCACACTATCAGTGTGTTTGTGTGCGTGGCGTGTTTGCCTTGTGCATTAGTGAGTGTGTTTTAAAACAGCACTACTCGCGAGCTTTGCTCTTTGTAAATAGTAAGTGTTTTTGTACTTTAAAAACGTCTAAATGATCAACACTACAAACTCAGTGCACTAATCTTCTGTGTAACAGTGCAGTGCAACATTTGCCGTGGCGTAGAGCTGCAGTGAAGAATACCTGTAAGAAAAAAATGGTCAATGAACTCCGTGATGAAATAATAGTAAATGTTTTGTTGACATATCATTTGAATTTGTGAATACACTTGTGGGTGCTCGTGTGTATGTGCACACTTTAAATGTGAATATTTCTAACGGAGGAAAATTAGCTTGGAGTAAAAAAGGTGAAGAAGGGATACCTGGACAAAAAGAGAAATGCCTCCCCACTGCCCCACATGTAAATCTTTTTTTTTCTGCTTGTCATCCAGGCTTCACGTTATTTAGCAGGAGATTTTTGTTTTGTTTTGTAGTGAATCGGAATCGATTTTCACCACGGTCAGTCTTTTCCTTATTTCTGTTTAGCATTAATGGGGAAACACTTCTCTGTAGTGTTGATGGATCTGCAGTATGGACACTGGACTTGTGCCACTAACAGGACTTTTGTGGTTTCGGCAACTTTCTGCGGGAGAAAGGTCAAAAAAACAAATTGTGAAGAAGGAAAAAAGCGACGGGGACAATGAAACTAAGGAAATTTCCTCCTTGTCATGCAGTCACTAAGTAAGACTTGTGTGGATGTAGTGTAAGATAACCTAGCTGTCTTTACCAAGTGCAGTATTGTTGGTTTCATTTACTTGCATCCAGTGTCATAAGGCTGACATAACAGTATTAGACGTTGTCATGGCGCCAGTCAACCGCTAATGTTATCATGCATAAGATGTGGAATCTAATGCCACTTTCAAAACATCGCACCTTGATTCTTAAACGTGGGTGTTCATTTGATTTGAATAAATATCATTAATTACATTAGCAGGTAGAAATGTCATTTTAAACTGGAAAATGCTATAATGCTGTATCTTTTCTGACTTTGTGACACCCTCAGTCAATTGAGGTTGCGTGTTGTTTGAATTATCTTTTTGTGAAACAAAAGTGGACGCTGAGTTTGGATGCCAGCAGGAAAGGGCTTGTATCCCTAAACCTCAAAGATCATGCACAGACATGCTTTGACCATGTAGTGTCAAGCAACCACTAAAGTTACAATCCTAGAAAAACACTCATGCACAAAAACTGTCAATGCAACACTAGAGGTTTCACATAAACACTGAATATTACAGAGAAAGTTAATTATTTTGCAAGCAACACAAATGGATAACCATGCACCTTACCACTTAATAGACACAATGTAAAATTGCTCTGAAATATGTGAGTCTTTTTACAGTATTTACATGTATTCAACCACTAACCATCATATAGAGACAATCCAAATGTTCGGATCTATGATTCTGTACCATATAATGCAGTTGCATGACTGAAGGAAATATGAGGAAGAAATATTCTGCCTTTCTTAACATTTTCATACAATAACCTTTCTTTAAATGTACACTTATTTTCTAGCATATTCTTGTTAGCTTTCTATTGTATAGATCATAACAAATGAGCCTACTCACTCCTTTCTAAATGTGAATATGAATGATTCGTCATAAATTGATGTTTTGATAACAATTCTTATGAATTTTTTCATGTTTTTTATGTTTGTTTTTGTTTTTTTTCATTTGTGATTAAGATGTTGTACATGTCAGAAAAAAAGGATTTTCTGAGCCTGGATTCAATGTTTTAATAATATATTAAAATGAACTTATCTGGTGCAGGGTGTTGAGCATCAGTGCCTGAAGAAAAAGAAAAAGAAAATCACTTGGTCAAGGTATGCATTTATCAAGGTATGCTCTACAAAAAAAAAAAGGTCCTGGAATCTTGATGCGTAAAATGGAAAGAAATGAGCTATGAACGAATGCTAAAGTTCTAAACAGAATTTGTACACTTGTTTGTTTGAAAACTGCATGTAATCTGTGAGAGGACATACATTTAAAAATAGACTATGTTGTAGTACAACTAAAAAATAAAATGCAGTTGGGCTGCTAATAAACCGCTGTATGTTTAAATACCATATAGAAAAATAGTCTAAACCCGTGTTGTTCCTGGGTTGCTGTATATACAAAATTATATAAGGTATCGTAAGCAAAACGCTAAAGAATTTCGATATTGCTAGCATAGACATTGATTTGGTTTTAAAAGGATAGTTTATGCAAACCTTTACATTTACACATGTGGTTCCAAGAATTTATAAAGCAGAATTTTCAGGTTTTTCTTTTTCATATACTGTAGGCCTTGCTAATGAGGACTTTGGCTTTAAAGCCCCTTAAAAAATGTCATACAACAATCCGTGTATAGATTTTTGTTAATGAAAACAAGAAGGTCTCGGTGATGTAGCCTACATTCAGTAGGCTACTGTATAAAATTTACATGAAAACGTCTCTGTATTTTAAATATGATCTCAGCTGAACTATCAACACCCAGGTACAACACACTGAACGAATAATATGTCTGTATGACAACCTCGTTTTTATTCACAGGGAAAAAATATTCCCCAAAGATTCTTTCAGATCCTTACATTGCAAAAAGTAAAATATCTTAGTTTTACCATTTTATAATTCTTTTGTGATCTGTTATCCTCACCTGGCTATGGTATGTCACTTTCTGAAACTTAATTCTCAAACAAATAAATGTCTCTTTAATTCCTTGAAGAAACCGTCGCGTGAATCGAGAGTTGGTCAGTTGACGGTTACTTTTTTGAATCGTGCAAGCGGATTTTTTTGGCGCTAAACAGAAGAGGTGAAAGGGAGGATGAGAGGACAAATAGACGAATAATGCCCCAGAGAAATTACAGTAGGCACAGACGGCGCGGAAATTCTGCACAGATGGTGTGGTAGAAAATGGAAACACTTAAGTGTAATTAATTCAGAAGACTAATATGAAATGTGCTGACAGGAGAAAGTGACATTAGAGTGGGAGGTAATTAACGATGAACAGCGGAGCACGGCGGCGGATCTACAGTAGGCTACATGTGAGCTAGGTTTTTCCTCAGTGATATTATTGCAGAGAAATTAAGCATCCTTGGACCATTAACATATATAACGTGAACTTATTTTTTATGACAATAGTTTATTATATTGTGGGGAAAGAATTATTCTTTTTTTAAATGGTAATGTATGCAGTACTGAATTTAAAATGCTGTGTCCACTGTGTCCAGACCAGTGTTGGGGGTAATATATTAAAAGTAACGCAAGTTACGTAATCAGATTACTTTTTTCAAGTAACTAGTAAAGTAACGCATTACTTTTTAATTTACAAGGGAATATCTGAGTTACTTTTTCAAATAAGTAACGCAAGTTACTTTTTTTTTCAATTTATTGATTGACAGCTCTCCTATCCCCATGCTGAGAGAAATCAGAAGATGTTACTGTAGTTCAAAATAAATATGAATATGCATTAATTCATCTCACTCACACACAAAAAACACAGATTCAGTATTCCTCAAAATGAATAAAAATAATGCAACTCAGAATATGACGCAAACCTGCAATAATTAAATGTTAAACAACACAAATATCCTTTATGCATTTAATCCCATTCTATTAACCAATGTCTTCGCTTCTGACCTTCGATGATCCAGTTCAACCATACTAATAAGCAAAAATTACTCTAGACAAACATTTGTGTTTTTTTTATTGCTGAAGTGTGTTGAAATTTCTTCTTCTGTATTCTACTGTACGGACGTACATTTACTTTCCCTTCAGCCTGAGGCTGATTCATTTCACTTTTGGTGCGAAAAGGCTTTTATATTTGCCAAAATTTAAAATTTATTTTAAAATCAAACAAGCAAGCCCTGTCCAGATTTAAAAAGTAATGCAAAAGTAACGCAACGCATTACTTTCAATAAAAAGTAACTAAGTAACGTAATTAGTTACTTTTTATGAAGTAACGCAATATTGTAATGCATTACTTTTAAAAGTAACTTTCCCCAACAATGGTCCAGACGGATGTAGGCCTATTTCAGTAAAGATAGACAGATTTTTACAGTAGGGAAGAATTGAAGTGGGGTGGGAATGTTCAGGTCACTGCTGTTAATTTAATGATACTTACATGTAATCGCTTTACATCTTAAATATTTAAAGGACACGAGGTTACAGGAGGAATGCACAGCTGGTGACCGGCGGCTGTATCGGTGACTTGCTACCGCGAGGAGGCGCATGTGCGCAGCGATCGAACACGGTTAAAGACTAAGCTTGAACCTCAACCGATCGCTCATCTCCTTTACCAGAGGTCGTAAACAGGTAACTGACGCATCACAGCGCTGGATTTAATGGAAGTCTGCTGGAAAAGGCACGTTGATCTTTACCTGGAGGATATATTTTAACTTTTGACCCACTGGAAGATACAGTGTTTGATCAAAGTAAGTACCAATTTCAAATTCAACTGTACGCAATTAGCTGTATACTGTGTAGATTGCTGAATGTGTCGTAGTTTTAAAATATATTAAATAATTATTATTGAAAACATTAAGATTTTAATCGAGGGTTTAGTGTTTTAATAAGCTGCTTATGAATCATAAATGCTTTTAAATAAATCTTACATTTTCACTAGGATTTACCTTCGTCAGCATACATATTATTATACAATATTATATTTTATATACAAAACAAAAAGATAAAGTAAAATAAAAATTCGAGTTTGAATGAATCACTGTATTGTACTCTGTATTTAATTACACTGCATTGTACCATTCATGACTACATCAACATGACTGCATATCAGTTTGACAGGTGAATTGGTAAACATTAAGCTATTGTTTATTGCTTTAATTTTAAATCAGTCTTCATTTAAATTGCTAACAGCAGTAAATTAGCACAGTTTAATGTGGGAATCTCAGCTGCCCTTATACACACTGAAAGTATAAATAAATGAAAGGAGTTTGAAAGCTTTTATTTGTGAGCATTTGTGGCTTTTCTCCTTTCTTTTCAGGGGTATGTGAATAGATGTGTAGCCTATGTGCATGTATGTTTACGTGTTTGTAATTTTTTCAGGTCATACGTGATACAGATTACCTTAAGGTTTGAAGGAAGAAAAAAAAGAATGAAGAGGAGGTACACGTATGCTTTTGATGTCATCTGTATGGGAAGATAAAATTTGTTTGGGAGGATAAAAGTGAATACTGTATTGGGTACTGAGTGAAGAAGAGATTTGTTTTGAGTATTTAAAACGACAAAGGAAAGAACAATGGATTTGAGATCTTCTGTTTTCCTTCATTGTCTTCAATCTTTTTTATGCATAAATGGAAACTTTGGCACCTGAAAAGTAAATAAAAAATATGTAGTTTTAGTTACATAGTTAGTTATGATGTAGTTCAGTGATAGTTCACCAACTCAACATCACGGGAAAACCACTATGAATCTGATCCCAGATCAGCCACCAACCCTGCTCTACAACCTTCCCAGGGCATTGGACCTTCAGCGTGAACCACAAAACAAGAGCAGGTCAGCTCCAGCCAGCTTCTTCAACAGCACCTTCTTCTTCCAGGATAATGCAGCTTTAGAATGGCAGCTGTTCCTCACCATCCAAGAGCCTGGCACCATTATCTTGACTGTCCTGTACTCTATTTCCTTCCTTGTGGGTTTTTTTGGCAATGTCATGTCCCTCAAAGTCCTACTGGGCCAGCATGGAAGCATGCGACTGTCTGGTGCTAGCGCCACCCGTTGCCTGCTGATAAACTTAGCGGTGTGCGACCTGGCAGTGGTTTGCGTGTGCATGCCCGTCACCCTGGGCCACCGCATCTATACGCCATGGGTGTACGGCAACTTTTTGTGCCGGGCGGTGCCCTTCACGCAAGCGGTGTCTGTTTCCGCCAGTGTCCTGAGCATCACGGTCATCAGCATCAGTCGGTACTATGCAGTTCACTCACCGCTACAATCCCGTGCCTACTTCACTCGTCGACGCATCCTCGCCTCTGTCACAATCGTGTGGCTCGTCTCCTCAGTGATCTGCATGCCAGTCGCAATAGTTACCAGGCGTGATGAAGTAGCTTTGATCGAAGGGCTGGCCATCGTGTTGCCCGTCTGTGGAGAGGTATGGCCTCAGCCGCGCTTGCGACAGGCGTACAATGTCCTGCTGTTCAGTGCCCTTTACTGTCTACCTGTTGGGTTTAATCTCACTTTAGCCTTCCTCACATGTCGCCGGCTGCGTAGCACTGGTTCTGAGGGTCGGTTCACAGAGTTGGACCCCCGTTCCCAGGCACTTCATGAAACAAGGCTGCGGGGGCGCAGGCAGATCGCACGTATGGTCGCAGCTTTGGTGCTGCTGTTCGCTCTGTCATGGTTGCCAATGTATGTGACTGATATTTGGCTGGACCGTGAGTTGCGCCATCCACCAGATTGGCTCCTTCAGACCAGACCCTTTGCACAATGGTTGGGCCTCACCAACTCTTCTCTCAACCCTTTTTGCTACTGCTTCATTGGTGACCTCCACCGCTCAGCCAAGGCTTTGCGTTTGCGCCTCTGCGGCCCGTCCCCGGCCTCGGCACTGGCTTTGGCTTCTCTCCCGAAAATATTCAACCTGCAGAATCAAGATAAGTCTCAAGCAGGTGCCGCCAACAACTCAACCAACTCCTGTGGGGAGGACGTTGGGAACCTAAATCTGTCGATGTGGTG